ACATCACTAAAACACACCCTGTTTGGTCAATCGACCAATCAGAAACTTCGCAAATGAACCGGAAATAGAACTCTTTAAATGTCTGCACTTCCTAGTTCAAACCAGAGCTAGTGCAGTCGAGCAGAGTCGAGTTCAGTTCGGAGAGCAAACCGAACAGAGAAGTGCTGGAGAGAACAGGAGTTCCAGACATGATCCGGAGTTCTTCCGAGTCTCGTGGGAATTATGCAATCTTCCACATCTGAGTGGAACTCTGACGGACTTACTCCTCTTGTGAGTCCACCGAGAGGTGAACCTGTGTCGGACGGAATACCGGCACTACTTCGGACGATTCACAGCTGTTCCTACGGAGACGCTGAAAGGGTGCGTTAAATGGAACTCCGTACCAGTGGAGACATCTCATCCAGGTAAAGAGTCGATTTACATTACCTAAGTGTACCGAGGAGGAAGCTGGGATCTTAACGGAGAGTGCCGTCCTGATACTGACACATTTCCCTCATCCATCTTTTCCTCTCCATTTAAACTTCATTTCCATCTTTAAACTCTTATATTTTGCTAGTAATTAATCCAGATATTTTCAGAAATGTCTGTTGTAAAGCTTGAACCCAGATACCATGGCTTATGGTCTCTGAAAGCTTGCTAATTAAGCTGTTGTTATTTTCAATTTTGCCAAATCAATGTAAATGTTTGATGTTAAACTTTGATTCTGTTAATAAATGACGCATTCATTTGATGGGTCAAAGAAAATTAACGTCTCACGTTACATTTATTAAATTCAATGCACGACATTATTCAGTCCAGAAAAATGAATGAATCCGTTTAATTTATGGATAATATATCACAGATATATGTTACCCTACACTATAAATATTTGGGTATCTTGGTCGACTCGCATCTCTCTTTTAAGCTACATGTGGAAAACTTGGTAAAGAAACTGAAAGTTAAATTGGATTTCTTTTTCAGAAACAGATCCTGTCTAACCCTGAATGCTAGAAAACACCTTGTAACTGTGACTTTCCTTCCCTCCATTGATTACGGTGACATTATTTACATGAACGCTCCTAAAAGAACTCTGCAGATGTTGGATGCTGCAGATGTTGGATGCTGTCTATCATGGTGCGTTAAGATTCATAACTGGCTGTGATTATCGTACCCACCACTGTACCCTGTATTCACTGGTTAACTGGACATCATTAACTTCACGCAGACTCTCCAACTGGTACATTTTCATCTTTAAATTAGGGCTGCAACAACGAATCGATAAAATCGATAAAAATCGATGATTAAAAGCATTGGCAACAAATTTCGTTATTGATTTGTTGTGTCGCGCGATTATGCGTCTTTCACGGCGCTGCGGAGCCGTTTCGTTTTGTTCACGGGCAGTTCATTGTCAATGCTGACTGACTGAATAAAGTTTGAAAAAAAAAACTGCAGCGCGAGTCGAACAGAGCGAGGGGGGAGGAGGAAGCAGAGCAGAGGCTGTTTTCAAAGGAAATTTAAGTAAATTTTACAAATGACCGACGCAGCGAAAACTGTTCGACCCAAGTCCTCCAAAGTGTGGGAGAACTTCACAAAGATAAAAATGAGAAACGTGCCGCTTTGAAAATCGCCGACACGACACGAGAGAACCACGCTGATAAACATAAACATGTCGGAGTCACGAGGAGGAGGAAGGAGCTGAACAGCTGATACATGTTTCACTCCCAAGTCGTGTTGCAGGTGAGTCTCTACAATTTAACACATTGTTCTGTTTCAAAGAGAGAAAACGAAACGTCAGTCTCTCTGGTAGCTGAAGCTGTTTGTTTGTTTGTTTGTTTTCTGATTAATGACGGTGATAGAGAACGTGTGTTACTTTTTATTTAATTTAATTGGAACAAGCAGTGTTTAAATGTGATTTATAAATAAATCTAACACAAAGATAATAATTTAATGATTAAGCTTCAACTTTTAATTTGTTGGCAAAGTCTGAAGACACTGCAGGTATGGCAGGATGAATTGCATTTAAACAGGAATTAAAGTAATTTATTACATCTACTCAAATGTGTGTAATTAAGTATTTTATATGTGTGTGTGTGTTTAATTGCTCTTTTAGCTACTTTTGCCTGAACCTAACGCTGTAAGTGAAACAAGGCATTTCTTGAGTTGCTGTAAATTATGCTATAATACATATTTACTGTCTCATTCCAGAAAACAACAACAAACAACAACATCCTTCATGATGGACAGACATCATGGACACCACAGCAGCAGCTGTCTTCACTGAAATCATCCTTAAATGATCGTCACTGACATGAGGCCTCTGTCGATGGTTGAAGACGAAGGCTTCACTACAATGATCCACACTTTTAATCCAGGTTACAATGATCCACACTTTTAATCCAGGTTACAATAATCCACACTTTTAATCCAGGTTACAATAATCCACACTTTTAATCCAGGTTACACTTTTCCCTCAATGACACATTTTACAAAGTAGCTACATATTGTGCAGGTATAAAGACACATTAGTATATATTTTAGTGTACATTTATTTTTTTAAGCTATTTGACGAACTTTTATTTTTTATTATTCAATATTTTACTAACAGAATAGTAAAATAGCAACCTGTTTTTTGTGTGAATTGCTATGTCAGTCAAATGTTCAATTTTGGAATAAAGGGGTGGAAATTAAAACGTTGTGGGGGGTTTTTGCCGATCCATCGATTAATCGAAAAAATAATCGGCCGATGAATCGATTATTGAAATAATCGTTAGTTGCAGCCCTACTTTAAATCACTTCTTGGTCTGTTTCCTTCATACATCTCCTCCTTCATGTCTTTGCATGAGTGCAGCTACAGCGTGCGCTCTCAGGACATTATTACCTGCAGTATCCTGATGCATGCTCAATCATCCAGGTAGAAAAATCTACAAAAGTTCAATCTGGTCCTTTGGACATTCAAAAAAACAAAAGCAAAAAAAATCTAGATACGTTTCGTCTTTCATCCGAAAGACTTCCTCAGTCTGAGGTGCTGTATTCAGCTTAGTCTCTTAAATAGCACCTTCTCAGAGTGGATCAACCATGACCTGCAGTGTTCCCTCAGTGTGGACTGAACTTGGCAAAAGGTCCTTCTCCTACTCCGCTCCTGTTTCCTGGAATATCTTGCAAAAAGATTTGAAGCTCTCGACCTTGACCTCTCTAAGTGGCTTTAAAAATCTGTTGGACTCCTGGCAGGGACCAATGCAGACATGTTCTTGTTTTTAGTTTTCTACATTCTCCTTATAATCTAGCAGTTTTTGTTACTTTTTTTTGCATTTTATTTGTATAATAATTTTTTTTTTAATCTGTATGACTTTTTATAACTGTTTATTGTTGTCGCTGTTCATTGTTTTTCCATCATTCTTTGTTGAAATCAAGTCTCTCTTGTAAATGAGTCCTTGAGGCTCAATGGGATTAACCTGTCTAAATAAAGGTTGAATGAAAACTGTGACTTGTGGATATTAAACTTCTGTACCAGCTGCTCAATAAAGGCAAATCTACCATCAACATAGAGATCATACGGTGAATTTACTCCATTCAAGTCCCAAGCATCCAAAGATGTATCAGTTACTGAAGGAGTAAACATGATTATGTGACACAGGTGCAACAAACAGTAACTCTGCAGAGTTAAATGTCCTCCTGAACTGATTGCAGAGCTTGACTGTCCAGATCACAATTGGGTTAGAAGTATAAGTTGATAATGACTGTTTGAAAGGCAACTGAGAGCAAAGTAATGCAGAGGGGGAACTGGATCTAATTGAGGTCGTCTCCATAGCCACCCAATTGGGAGCAGGGACATCCTTTCTTAACCAGTATAATACATTTCTGATATTAGCTGCCCAGTAATAGTGCATGAAATTAGGAAGTGACATGCCTCCTAGACTACAGGGCAGATGCAAGATCTTCCTGGCAATCTGTGGATATTTTATTACAAATAAAATTTATTGCATGTTTCTGTTTTTAGTATTTTACATCGCTTTAAGATGTAGCTGTTTTTGTTTAGTTTTTATATCATTTCTTCTATTACTTTTCATTTTATTTTTAATAACGTTTAAAAATTAAACTTCACCCAATGAACATTGTAATAACCAGCAGCAGTGAATTTAAGGGACTTTTTACTGTTTTCTGATTTAGGGATAAACTCATAACAAAAAATGACCTGGCATCATGCAGCCTTCACAACACTAAACCACACTGTGCCAAGCAAGTGACAAAAGACAAACACAGTTTTACTCAGTTTAGTCATCCTGCATGTAATTATTAAAACAAAATCATTTACAGGTTCCTACTTCCTACCTACCTTGGTGTCACAACTTCTACTCTTCGTAACTTTTATTCCCCTTTCCTTCACAATCCACTCAAGAGTAACATCCATCTCCTTCTCCCATCGTTTTCATTTCCACTATTCCCCATCACTGATTTTAACTATTGTACTTTCCAGAAAACTTGTGTTACTGGATCTCTTTCTCCTTAACACCTTTCTCCTTCAAGGTGTTCTCTGTAACACCATCAGATGAACTTTTCAAATATTAGAGCAAAATGTTTGTGTATGTGGCAGCTACATTGTTCAAATGTTGGCGCACAATACAGACACGCTAGCTAAGATGCTAAAGACGTAGCGCTGTGCTCCTCTCATGCATCCCACACACCCCTCCCCCGACAAAAACTGCCCAGCAGTGCCTGTCGTGCCACCTGCACTAACGTACTGGCAAGCTAGCGCACAACACTGAGGTGTCTCCCCCTCCACCCACTGCCCCGTTGACAAAAATGAGGACCCTGCTAAGCCAAGTGACCCGAGGAGGAACAGTTTCTTAACCATTTACCACGCCTCTTACCCCCCCACTCACCCCCAGCCCCCCGGAAAACAAAGACTCTTCGAATCTACAGGATTCACGTAAATTACATATTATTCAGTTTAAAATCGGCAAATTTTGCTGAAAAGCGACAAGTTTGCAGGTATGTAAAACATTTTGGAGTGTCAGACTCACCTGATGGCTCTTCAGGTTCACTGTCGTTCTCTTCTTCGGGAGGCGGCGCTGGAGGAGGAATGACCTGCTTCCTTTCTTTCTCTGCCTTGGCGTTTCTCTCCTCCTCTGAGTAATATTCGTCCTCCGACAGGTTGGCCAGGCTTTCGTCCATCTCGCGGTACTCCACCTGCAACAGTAGGCACAATAAAAGCACCATTAAAACCAGGATTCATGTCAGTCAGGGCTTTGTTTGGTTACACTCCCTGAAAAGCTATCCTCAGCCTCACACTGCAAAACATCAACACGAGCTATTTTAACAAAACCCTTCTCTCCTGAAACTTTAGAAACTTAAAATGTTTACTTTTGGTCGCTTGCGCCGACTTGTTCTGCGAACTTCAGCTGAGTCTGGGTCTACTGCTCCAGGACCTGGCGGGTGGGGAAAAGAGGCCCCTCCAGGTTCCCCACTAGGAGACGACCTGTCTTTCTTCTTTGAATCCACAGCTCCCGACACTGAGGCTGATGAACCAGTCTGGGCATCAGAACTCAGAGTCCTTTCACCTCCTGCTGCTCCAACAGAAGATGAAGAGGAGGAAGAGGAGCCAGCATCTGATTTCTTGCTAGAGAGCATTATGGAGGATGTTGGAGGCCTCTCCTAGGGAAATGGTGAACAGGAATCGACTTAAAAATAATATACACACAACATAAAGAAATACATACTGAAATGACTGAATTTGAATGTTTAAAAAAGTATAACTAATAAAATATAAATAATGTAAAATGACAGTATGGCTTGAGATAGTAAGAAACAAATTAAAAAAATGTGTTTTTCTTTTCATACAAAACTTTGTGGTAAGCAAAATCAAATGTGTGTAAAAGATGATGGTTTTTAACAAACATTTTTCTTCTTCACTTCCATTTGAAATTAGGAAAAATGCAGGTCTGTTACAGATTTTCACATTTGTGCACAGTCTATTTAGTCAACAAAAAAGGTTGAATCATGTCATCTGGACTTCGTTTTTTTT